AGCCCTAATATTTGCTGGGATATAGCAAGCCAGAGCCAGAACATCATTAGATATCACGCCGTATTGAGAGATTTGGAAGATATTTCACCCCCCGGTGTTTCCTTAGCTCACCACGATGGTATAGGGGTTATGGTGCTCGACTGCTCGCCTGCAGGTCACGGGATCAAATGCCAGTTTTGGCAGCCACATTATCAGTAGAGGCGGGAATATTCTTTGGTACTTTGATTTCAACCCCAGGTGGCTGAAATCTCTGGAGCATTCCATTGCGTCACTCATAATCGTACCGCTGTTCTGCAATGTTAAACCCAAGCATTTACTATTATGAAGCCATTATTAACATTCTTTGAATTATAATCGCATGGCTTTTCATTGTATAGTGCCTTTAATTGAAATTCTACTGCTTGGGGTGTGAATTGCATCGTTTCAAAACTGGTGAGATAGCACAGTAAGAAGCAAGCTGAACCTTTTGTGTATCTGCTGAGTACCTGACGGGGCGGCATGAATCGCTCCATGGAAAAACGAAAGCGCTCGGCAGGCGCAGGGGTAGAAAGTAGCAGATGAAATCAGACAAGCGCCGCCTTTATGCGCGTGTGCCACGTTTACAAATCTCACCACCAGTTCGCGCCACACAGGCGCCGCGACCAGGCGTTCGCATGTTCCCCTTAACAGTGGACCGTACTGTACATCCATCTACCATCACAACCTTGCACACAGGTAGTATGCAATGGCAAGCTAACGTGGGGAAATGTGCCACACAGTGATTGCCCCTAACAATTAATTATGCTTGCTAAAGGTAACTGCAAGAAGTGACACTTTTTAAAAAAGCCTGTAGCACATCCTGGTAGATCCTATGTAGCCAGGCCCTTGCATCTGGTATTACTGAAAGCCTCTTGCATCATCGGACACACCACTCTCCCGTTTCAATTTACAATGCAATATAAAGATTTCTTCTGCTCTGATTCTTACTTTTTTACTTGTTGCGCATGTTACATGTTACTTTGTTCCATTCCCACCAATAATGTTTTTCTTTTCATTTAAAATAAGTAACCTTCCCATGTATTCCTTATAGAGATTATCAAAATATGTGTTTCAGCTGTTTTTTGCACTCAACTTCCACCGTAAGCTGAGCACACATCTATGGACATCTACCTGGTATGTATTAAGAGATGCTACAATGCACAGAACATTCCATACCAGGCACGTAATATAATGTCCCAAAATTAACCCTGAACAGCCTTCCTGAATGTCCACTTCTACAGATTGACACAAGAGATCCTATATAATCAAAGTAAACAAAATGTCTAATAGTGTACTTTGCAGTAACAGTAAGTATATCTTGCAACAGCTCATGCAAGTTCACAATGCCTCCCATGCAAGCTCAATTATGATGCAGATGCAAGCAGTGGTCAAGATGTGCACTGATATGGCATGACTTCCCTCACTCCCAATTTTTTTTTTGTATGTTCAGACTCTATTTTGTGTGGTATACAACACAAAAGAAGGCAAGGCGTGCAAGCATGGCCAGAGAAGGGAACAAACCTTCTTTTAAGACAAATCCTCACCAGCTAGCCCAGATTTGTTTTTCTTGAATATAACACAATAAATATTGGCAGATCTACATAATGTATGCTAGGCTCCCTGTCGTTGTTTTTTTCTTTTTCTTGCCTACTAATTAGTAGCTAGTCTTTTATAACTTTTGCATGCACTCTCACTTTTGAAGAAATGCTCGTAAAATTATTACTTTGAAAACAAACATCAACCCGAAGCTCTCAAGACTACTCTTTAAACCCATCATCATAGTTTTATTACAGTGAGGAGTGTTCACAGATTCCAACTGTATAGCAGTTGCATCGGCATATTACCTTTCTGTGACTGCTCAGAATGCAACATAACAATAAACAGCTTTTATGCAGTAAAATGTATAGTTGAATGTTATGCTTATGGATATACAGGTGTTTTTCTGTGACTGCTCAGAATGCAACATAACAATAAACAGTTTTTATGCAGTAAAATGTATAGTTGAATGTTATGCTTATGGATATACAGGTGCTATATAGTGCCATAACAGAAGAAGGCATCATCCTGAAGGTAATAAACTCACTCATAATTAGCCAATTGTCTTCAATAATAAATTTCACAATATTTTGAAGCTAGGTGCCACTTAATGACTATTCAAAGGTGCAAGGTAAGCTGAAGGAATGAGTGTAAATACATGAATACAGTGTGTTACTTGCACATTCAAATCAATATTACTGTATATTGTTGTGCATAAAACAGAGACAAAAGAAGGAATACAGTGACACATGTATCCATTTTATGTGCAACAATGCATGTTCATCATGAAAGACCAACAAACCCACATGAAAATCCTATTGAAGTTCACTTTCATCTTTCGTATTACTGTCCAAGTGTGCATAAAAAAAAAGTGAGGTTTTGAAGCACCATGCCAGTTAGTAGTCAGAGTGAGCAAAACCATGAAATACATAAAATCATATACAAGCATCAAGCCACAGGCAATCAAAATAATTTCATAGACTACCTTCCAATACTTGCAAACAAGGTAACCCCTCATAGCATGACTCTTGGGGCACAAAAATTTTATACTGCAAAAACATTAATTTAGGTAAGCTAAGATAGCCATAACATGCATCAAACATGGCTCTCATCAGAAGCCTGCGATAATAAACCACCTTTATGGAAGCAAGCATACATGTGCAACTTCCATTTGTTTTACCCAACTATGGTGTTAAATTAAACATGAGGCTCGAAAGCTCGCTATAAACTGACAAAATTTGCTGCCTGAAATGACTGATTTCAGTGTGGGAAATGTACAGGATATTACAGGATAAAGCCACTGTGGTGTGGGGTGTTGAAACAAAACACAAGGAATGCCTTACAAAATTCCCAACATGTTGAATTGCAAACCGCAAGAGATCGAAAGTGATCAAAAAGGCTAGCTGCTGAAGCTCCTTCCCTCCCTGCAAAAGTTGTGAGTGCGCAGGTAATTTAGCCTTCAAAAAAATGTCACAAAAGCAGGAGTTTGATCTCAAAGCATTGCTTTCTGCAAAATACCGTAAATACAAGGCATACTCCAAGTGGCGGTAATATACATATATATACACACACATGTATGTGTGTTTGTTCAGATACTAGCTTATGTATTCCAAGGCACAAATGCGCCTACCTAAACTCACTTCTGTATATCAATATCACTTCCTTTATTCCAGTACATGCTACAGAACTCGCACTACAATAAAAAGCCATTTCCCATCTCCTTGCATGGTTGAATGTACTTATAGAAACACAGCTCGGAATTTACAACGCAAATGAAATGCTCGAGTAAAAGAAGAGCGAATAGTACTTTCGCAACAGCAGTACGCCTAAAACGCTCCTTGCAGCTTTCAGTCACAAGCGAGCCGAGCGAGCATTCGCAGGAACAGTGCGACAAAATTATCAGTCGATCCGATTACGCTTTATCAGTCGAACTAGCAAAGACTGACGAAGTCCTTGCACTTTCATAGATCTGTTCGTACAGATATGCGTTGACGGTGTATTACAACTCGCTGGCACCCTTACCGGCTGCTCAACCAGCAAGGTATAAGGCTCCGAAAATTAGTGACTGTCAAATATACAAAGATAACCGGGAGCATAGCGACCCGTGCGCGATAGCAACAAAAAAATGCGCTACATAGGAGAACAAGATGTGACGAAAGACTGCAGACGACTGCACGTAGGCTAACAATCGGGGCCCGATGATGGCATTTGAGGAATAGGCAAGACATCAGGGTAACAGCGATTTACATTGCGCTATATATATACACATATATACAAGTATTAAGTGAGGCCAAGCACTCCAAAAACAATTTCGTTTCCTTGCAATCACGGATGCGCCAGCGTATGAATTCCAGCTGAGAACTGACCAAGTTTTCACTGCCACAAAGAAAATATGCACAGTCGTTGGGTAATATAGCAGTTAATATCGTAGTGCGATTGCTTGAACTTTTAGACTGTAGAAAACTCGCTCTAATTTGGTATACAGAGACAAATGGAAACGATCAAGGCGCAACTCAAGCGGCTTAGCTTTGCTTGCTCAACGAGGGTTTACACAGCAGCTCTAGAATAAACGAGGGATTATACAGCAGCTCTACACCGTAATGCAGGGACACAATTTCAATCAGTCGAACGAATGGGCCATGCGCCGGCTGGACCGTCTCCAAAGTGAGCAAATATGTCAGACGTGATCCAGCAGCCAACGACGCGAACCCTGTCCGGCATTTCTCGCTTCCTCGCTGTGCATAAACCTCTGCACGCGTCCACGTCAAGGCAAGAATCGGCATCGCATTCACAGCGGTCAACCTTTGATTAGTGTTAAGCCTAACGAGAGGATCATTAGCGAGCTTGAGATCGTTCAGAGCCGACTAGCATCCGCGGACCTTTCCCGCTTTCGCTCGATACCGCGACAGTGACAACGAAGACTCCACGGGAGTTCACACTGACATTTCGTCCAAGCGGTCCCGCTTGCCCCTCCTCACCTTTCTCCGGGGCCCGAGTGATCACGAGCGGCGAATACGAGACGCAGCTAGAGCGCAATTATTTCCATAAATGCGCGAGAACAATGACCACAAGTTTTCTTAGAACGCCATTTTAGGCCCATCTTCGGCTACCCAATTCATGATCACTTTTGCCAAATGATAATCGGCTCGGACTTGCTCTCCAATTAAACATACATACCGAGCAATTTCGACCAATCGAGAGTGCTCGGTCTACACAGGCACAGGTAGCGAAACGAATGAAACACTTACCTTCGTAAAGCTAGTGAAACGAACTACATTCGCAGGCGATTTTTGTGAAGTTTGAGTCGCTTTGGTCGCTTACATTGTACATCTTGCTAGGACTAGCACGCCATGTTCCGCCGTCTCTGATTGGTCGACACAGAAATACTATAGAATGATTTTGTTTGCGGAAGTGTCGTATTTGAGTTAAAAGAACTGTAAACTCACGTTTGAAGGCTTGCCGGTCTTAGTTATTGAGAATGACACGCACAAATCCCATAATGAACGCAGGAAACCACTAAATGACAATTGTCATTTATTGGTGATCGGCCAATGAAAGACAAGCTCACACGACGGTCGCGAGCAAAGAGTTATGTTTTTTCTTTCTATCCCCGGCATTGCGGCCAATGAGAGGTCGAAGATTTTCATAAACTCCCGGATGTAATGTGCCCCAAAACACTGCTTCCCAAGAAGAACACTAGGGATCCCTGACGTCGTCGGCGTAATGAGCACGGCGCACCTGGCGTCGAAGGCGGCGCTCGGCTGCCCAAACGTAAAAAAGGCCGGCGATTGCCGTCGACGTTGGATATTGTCGTTCATCAGCGCCATCACATCGCGAAGCCTGGCAGGTCGTAACGGGGCGAGCTCTCTCTCTTATATGAGTGTCGCTGTGATTTGCCAGCGCCTGCTGAGATTTCGTACAGTATGCAGCAGCACGGAAATAAATTTTGCTCTCCCCTGCTGTCATCAGTTGAGAAGTAACTAATTTTAACATCGCGACAGAGGGCGGAGAAAGAAACTGGTACTTTGTAGCGCGCAGTTTAAGCGTTGCGTCGAGTTCCCCCCCCCCCCTTTTTTTTTGATAATTTTTCTCACGCTGCAGCAACAGTAATGTGATAGGTGCGCAAATTGCGCCAAGAGGTGAAATCTGCTACATATTTGAAATTATTCCACAATTAGCGCCGAACGTGAGCTAACACGTTGTTCTGTGGCAGCTCAGAGAAAATAAGGCAACGTACTTACAAACCTTAGTTGAGCTACCACTGTAATTCTGAATATTAATTGGAGCATACCGACAAATACTATGTTGTTGAAGTAGTTACTTGATGCAAACCTGCCAAACAATTGAGACTGGCCCACCGGCGCACGAAAAGTTTTCTACTACTACTAGATCATACTGTATTGCATTATTAAGCTCCGGACAGAAGTCTACATTTAAGGGCTTTGTTAGACACAACATTAACGAGAACTAACAGACAAATAGCTTCTAACTGTAATGGACCAAAGCTACATTCAGCTATACTACACTATAATTGTGCCGTGCATGTATGTGCTAAAATAGACAATTTTGTTATAGTTAGTTTATTTTAGAAATGATAGTAGTATTTGTTTATAATTTGTCTATGACTGTACAATCACTGGACTTTATCACTCACTGCAGTGGACAGATTTTCGACAGAGCTAGTCTTCCAGCATTCTGGTAACTCAGTTCTGTTTCTTGACCACAGCAACAGTTTGTGTTTGAGAACTTGCTGAAGTTCAATACGAAGCTTGACATTACTGCAAATTTCATGGAGCAGAAATTAGACTTGAGGCACAATTAAGAGACCAATTGTTAAACCCTGTATTTTATCATCCATCGATGAACTAGGATCCTTGCAATTCTCTTCATAAGACACAACCACAGGCACTCCACTGTGCGGTGCAGCACTAGGTTGTGCTATAAGTACGATTGTTATCAGCATAGTCAATGGATACTAAACAGTGTGCGCAGAAATTTTAATATTCATTGTGCTTCCAGTGCCGGAACAAGAGTTAGGGAAAGTTGTATTCATTCACAATAGTGAAGTGGATACTAGAAAAATGATAGGCGGCCTGATGTCACGGCTTCAATGAATTGTAGGGCTAGGGGTGGATTATCCAGGGTTCAAATGAACCGTGCCGTGGTTATAAGGGGCACCCCAAAGACCAGAACAAAATCGCCAGCTTCGTTGTTTTGTTACAAGAAGTATAACCCTCCTGCTGGATTCCCCTGATAGAAACAAATTATCCATTTCAATAATCAATATACATGCCTCTAAGAGGCTATCCCCACCGCGGTGGTCTAGTGGCTAAGGTACTTGGCTGCTGACCCGCAGGTCGTGGGTTCGAATCCCGGCTGCGGCGGCTGCATTTCCGATGGAGGCGGAAATGTTGTGGGCCCGTGTGCTCAGATTTGGGGGCACGTTAAAGAACCCCAGTTGCTCGAAATTTCCGGAGCCCTCCACTACGGCGTCTCTCATAATCATAATCATATAGTTAAACCCCACATATCAATCAATCAATCTAAGAAGCTGTTCATTGCATATCGTGCATAATCTTGAAGGCAGCTCACAGTTATGCAGTCTGTGGTAAAAACCTTCAACTCGCCCAAGACCATGCATCGTGTAGAGGGAAGGAGCTGATCCAGTAGATGGACACATAGAAGAGCCTGACGAGGACTTTAGCAGCTATGGTCCAACACGCAATGTGAAAGTGCATAGAGAGTGGTTCCTGTTTGAAATATCATTGAAGGTGCTGAATGAAAACAAAGCTGGTGCAGTTATGCTATAGTATTTGTATATTTGTATAGTACGGAGCTTCTTGATTATGCAAGGACTCCGAAGAAGTAACGGTTTGATTCTTCGCTTCTGACATTGTCGTTCTGTCTTAATTCCTGCTTGATGGCTATATAGAAAAACTTAAAAAGACCGTCCCGTGGTAAAGGTTGTGCACAGGAAATATTTACAACGTACATCCACTATCTGGCCGCCAGCAGACCTTCACCGCAATTGCTTGAGCGTTGTGATGGGGGTTTTCAACTGACCATCACTTTTGAACTTCTACGCGATTCCCTGCATAGCACATGCAACCACGGCCAAGTAGATGAAGCAGATATAGGAAGCTATTTTTTTACAAACAAGCTTCCTGATTGTCGAGGGAAGATGTCCCTTCTTGAAACAAGGATAAACAGCGCTAAAGAGTAAGATGAATATAATAAAAACACGATGCACTTCCAAGAGTCGTATGCATTCCTTCTTTTTGTCTTGATTTCTCGCACAGTCAAGCCTCCTTTCAGTATGAATCAACGAAGCAGACAACTATTAATCCTGTCCATGTGTCTTGGCCTCATCATACATATAGTTAATTATTATGATGACAATCTCTCCACGTGCTTCGCAAGAAAAAAAATGCCCAGGTAATATTAAACATTCCGAAGAGTTTAGAATAAATATGGCTTGTGTTCTTTACAGCTAAATAAAGAAATGTCACATCTCAAGCATGACCAATTAACTAAGCAGGAAATGAAGGGGGCGGGGCCACCCTCTTTTTCTTGAACTGGGCCCTCTGCACTGTTAATCCTGCCATGCGTAGAGCTGTCCGCAGAGAAACAGCGAGCAGTAACATAATTTCATCTTTTGGGGTATTCTAAGTAAAGATGCATGTACTTGTATATGTATAAATTTTGCTAAACTTCTAGAACATATGATCAATCGTAAAAATATATATTTGCTTATAAAATGTTTGCTTGGCAACTGCTCCAAAACTTATGATGCTTCACAGCGAGATTTTTGCTGTGCCAATGTGGCTTCGGTAGATCGCATCACTGCAACAACCAACCAGAGTTAGGAAACTGATAACTGTTCCTACAAGAAAATTTTTCATTCAGATGAAGGTGCCATACGTCCCAGGGCAGATGAGTTCCTCCTTAGCTAAATGCTACGCTTACCCTCATTGCCTTTTCCCCAAACAAATTTGATGTGCGAAAACCTTTATTTTAAAATGTATATTACCAAAGTATCGCTACCGCCCTCGGACATCCAAGCTGCGAGATTATCTAAGCTGTACATACAAGACTGTGCATCTTTGGTGTCAGGCTTCTCTACACATATGATTGAGCAGTCAAAACATCCAGAATGTGCTCGTTCAGGACCATACTGTAAGGCAAAGAGACAAAGCAATTTTTGTTGCCTTTCCTGCACATTCGGTAACTTACAAGAGTGGAAGCTTGGGCTAGTTTATTGTATGTAGTCATACCGACAAGTGTTTTTCAGTGCGCAGGCATAGAAAAAAAAGAACAGAGTAGACAAAAAGAGCGCTGTGCTGAGTGGTAAAATATATGTGTAGAAAAGGGTGATAAGAGACAGAAAGATATGAGACAAGCATAATCAATGTACCAATAGTCAAAGCATGTGTGACCGGTAAAAAAAGGGCAAAGTAGACAGAAAAATCTCTCTTACTGTCTACCCTGTTCTTTTTTCCTATGTTCGCATACACAAAGGACTTGCCAGTATGTATATTCGGCTTTTTATCAAAACAGTCTAGTATGGCATTATCATGAACTGATTTCTTGTCGTGCACAGTTCTTCGCACACTTATATATGTAGAGGTGCACACACGCCCATTATAGTACACTTAATTGTATCAATAAAATGCCCCACCGTGGTGGTCTTGTGGCTAAGGTACTCGGCTGCTTACCCGCAGGTCGCGGGTTCGAATCCTGGCTGCAGCGGCTGCATTCCCGATGGAGGCGGAAATGTTGTAGGCACATGTGCTCAGATTTGGGTGCACGTTAAAGAACCCCAGGTGGTCCAAATTTCCGGAGCCCTTTACTACAGCGTCTCTCATAATCATATGGTGGTTTTGAGATGTTAAACCCCACATATCAATCAATCAATGGATCAATAAAATGTACAAGAGTGATACTACCTACAACACTTAAATAGTAAGCTTGCTACAAGTTTTTGTTCAAAAATAATTATGTACAAGTAATAGTGTATGTTGGTATAATACAATAGAATGACCCACAAAGATTTTAGCTACGTATTTTACAAAAGTTTGATTTGCTTGTTTCTATTGAATAGGTTATATTGGTTCTAACCTTATCTATAATCAATCTATTTTAATTCGATAGGAGAAGTACGAGACTAAAAGCTCGAGAGCTTGGCAGGGAACAAAGTTCCTGAGTTGTGGTAGTTGAAATGTGCCAAGATGTGGCGGTAGATATACTTAGTTTCTTATTTGCAGGCTCATACAGTGGTCTTCTGGTGATGTGCAAAAACTGACATTCTTAAAAAAGTAAACCCGGTGCTATAGTTTCATTGTGAGCAAATTCTGTACTTATGTGTTTTTTAAATGAGTCTTAAGAATGCCAAGAGCGAGATGCCTCTTAGCTCTGAAGTTGTGTGTTGAAAAAAAAAAATAAACACCAACAAAGTAATTGTAAGAACTTTGTTCCACTATTAGCAGGTTCTGATTGAAGGTTAAAATCCACTTATAAGAAGGTACAAGCCAAAACTTCATAATTTTTATCTAAAGTCAATATTGAATATAATACATAATTAGGTAAAAATCCACAAATAGGAAGGTACAAGCCAAAACTTAATAATTTTTTATTTAAACTCATTATTGAATATAATACATTGTCAATTCTGCTTTAATAAATATGCTGCAATACTTGCAGTATTGTATTACCGCAATTGTATTGAAACGAAAGTAATGTACAACAACCTCGGAAAAGAGCAGCGCTTCGAGATAGGTAATGGTGCACTTCAAGTTGTAAAAGACTATGTCTACTTAGGGCAGGTAATAACCGCGGAGCCCAACCACGTGATTGAAGTGGCTAGAAGAATAAGAATGGGGTGGAGCACATTTGGCAAGCACTCTCAAATTATGACAGGTAGATTGCCACTATCCCTCAAAAGGAAGGTATATAACAGCTGTATCTTGCAGGTACTTAGCTACGGAGCAGAAACCTGGAGACTCACAAAGAGGGTTCAGCTTGAATTGAGAACGACGCAGCGAGCAATGGAAAGAAAAATGGTAGGTGTAAACTTAAGAGACAAGAAGAGAGCAGAGTGGATTAGGGAACAAACAGGGGTTAAGGATATCATAGCTGAAATCAAGAAGAAGAAATGGACATGGGCCGGGCATGTAGCGCGTAGACAGGATCACTGCTGGTCGTTAAGGGTAACTAACTGGATTCCCAGAGAAGGCAAGCGGGTTAGGGGGAAACAGAAGATAAGGTGGGCAGATGAGATTAAGAAGTTTCCGGGTATAAATTGGCAGCAGCAAGCACAGCACCGGGTTAACTGGCGGAACATGGGAGAGGCCTTTGTCCTGCAGTGGACGTAGTCAGGCTGATGATGATGATGAATTGTATTGAAACCGCAAGTGGACATTGAGGAGCCCTAATGGCAAAAATAAGAACGAAATAGACTTTATAATGAGTGCACACCCAGGCATTGTGCAGGATGTGGAAGTTGTTGGCAAGGTACGATGCAGGGACCATAGAATGGTACGATCTCGAATTCGCCTAGACTTGAAGAAGGAACGACAGAAGCTGATACGCAAGAAGCCAATCAATGAGCTAGCACTGAGAGGGAAAGTACAAGAATTCAGAGTCTCGCTTCAGAACCGGTACTCGACTCTTAGTGAGGAAACCAATCTTAGCGTAGATACAAGGAATAATAATCTGACGAGTATCATTACGGAGTGTGCAGTGGAAGTTGGAGGCAGGGTAGTTAGACAGGACACTGGCAAGCTTTCCCAGGAAACGAAGAATCTCATTAAAAAGCATCAAATCATGAAAATCTCAAGTACAACAGACAAAATAGAACTGGCAGAGCTTTCAAAGTTGTTTAATAGGCATAAGGTATGCAATGTAAGAAGGTATAACATGGAGGGAATGGAACACACTCTGAAAAACGGAGGAAGCATTAAAGCAGTGAAGAGGAAACTTGGGATAGGCAAAAATCGGATGTATGCACTAAGGGACAAAGAAGACAAAATAACTACCAATATGAATAGGATAGTTAAAATAGCAGAGGAGTTTTACAGAGATCTGTACAGTAGCCAGGACAACCACGACTTTAATAATATAAGAACTAGCAGTAACCCAGATGACACTCCACCAGTAATGATAAAAGAAGTCAGAAAAGCTTTGGAGAGCATGCAAAAAGGCAAAGCTGCTGGTGAAGATCAGGTAACATCACATCTGCTGAAAGATGGAGCACAGATTGTGTTAGAAAAACTAGCCATCCTGTTTATGAGGTGTCTCCTGACGGGAAGAGTACCAGAGTCTTGGAAGAACGCTAACATCATCTTAATACATAAGAAAGGAAATGACAAGGACTTGAATAATTACAGGCTGATCAGCTTTCTCTCTGTAGTATACAAGCTATTTACAAAGGTAATTGCTAACAGAGTTAAGAAAACATTAGAATTCAATCAACCAAAGGAACAAGCAGAATTTCGAACAGGCTACTCAACAATCGACCACATTCATACTATCGATCAGGTAATAGAGAAATGCTCAGAGTATAACCAACAACTATACATAGCCTTCATAGATTACGAGAAGGCATTTGATTCAGTAGAAATATTAGCTGTCATGCAGACACTGCGGAATGAGGGCGTCGATGAAGTATATATAAGCATCCTGGAAGAAATCTGCAGAGGATCAACTGCTACCATAGTGCTTCATAAAGAAAGCAATAGAATACCAATCAAGAATGGTGTAAGGCAGGGGGACACAATCTCCCCAACGCTATTCACCGCATGCTTACAGGAGGTTTTCAGAAGCCTAGAATGGGAACAGTTAGGGATAAGAGTTAATGGAGAGTACCTTAGTAACTTGCGCTTCGCCAATGGCATTGCATTGCTGAGTAACTCAGGGGACGAATTGCAACTCATGATTACTGAGTTAGACAAGGAATGCAGAAATGTGGGTCTCAAAATTAATCTGCAGAAACCAAAAGTAATGTACAACAACCTCGGAAAAGAGCAGCGCTTCGAGATAGGTAATAGTGCACTTCAAGTTGTAAAAGACTATGTCTACTTAGGACAGGTAATAACCGCAGAGCCGAACCACGAGATTGAAGTAACTAGAAGAATAAGAACGGGGTGGAGCACATTTGGCAAGCACTCTCAAATTATGACAGGTAGATTGCCACTATCCTTCAAGAGGAAGGTATATAACAGCTGTATCTTGCCGGTACTTAGCTACGGAGCAGAAACCTGGAGACTTATATTGAGGGTTCAGCTTAAATTGAGGACGACGCAGCGAGCAATGGAAAGAAAAATGGTAGGTGTAATAATCTTAAGAGACAAGAAGAGAGCAGAGTGGATTAGTGAACGAATGGGGGTTGAGGATATCATAGTTGAAATCAAGAAGAGGAAATGGACATGGGCCGGGCATGTAGCGCGTAGACAGGATAACCGCTGGTGACTAAGGGTAACTAACTGGATTCCCAGAGAAGGCAAGCGGGTTAGGGGGAGACAGAAAATTAGGTGGGCAGATGAGATTAAGAAGTTTGTGGGTATAAATTGGCAGCAGCAAGCAAGGACCGGGTTAACTGGTGGAACATGGGAGAGGCCTTTGTCCTGCAGTGGACGTAGTCAGGCTGATGATGATGATGATGACTTGCAGTAGCACTCTGTACTACATCCTTGCACACATTTTTAGTAATAATAATAATAATAATAATAATAATAATAATATTAATAATAATATCTGGGGTTTAATGTCCCAACACGTACACATTTTCAGGTACATTCTGTTACTACTTGTGTTTATAAGTGGCTTTTTAAACAGTCACTTGCACATAATTATAAGGCTAGTCTAGTGCTGAGGGTATTTAACAATTAGTGCTAAAGCCCAGCACAAACATTTAAGCTTGAATTAGTTCTGACAGAAAGATGATCTCTGGAAGTCACGATTAGAAAGCATTGCAGCAGTGAACAGGAGAGCAACAGCCAAAATAGAATTTAGAGGAATTTTTGGAGCAGAAAAAGTTTATGTTTAGAGCGATAAAATGCTAATTTGGAGCAGGTTCTCGGAAAAAAAAATATCCATTTACTATCAGGAAAGGCCAAATTCAGAGTGGTATAAAAAGGGAAGGCTTACAATTACATAAAAAAAAACGAGTATGTACAAACCATTCAACATCACCTGAATTGTGCAGAGTAAACACGAGCACTGCTATAAAAGTATTTTTAACAGTACCACGCTGAGAAAAAAAAATGATAAAGTCCACATTAGCATTCTCCACGTCTTTAAAATACTTTGACAGACTCAGTGAATTCAAATGTGGATCTGCGAAGCTGCCGACCTTGAAAATCGTGATTTTTAAAACTGAGGAGTAGAGGGGGGGGGGGGGGGAAGGAAAAAAAACGAACAATTTTATTTTAAAAACACCAGCTGCTCATACACTGCTCCAAATGCTTGCCCGTAACATTTGCAGATGTCAGCAGTCATACTAGTACCAGAGTCCATTAAGGGACTGTGCTAGTACTCACAGTTATGAGGCGTATGCACGCATGAGTAAATGAACAAAATGAGCTGCGTCTCGTGACTAATGCTAAGAGCCCCTTCCAAATCATAATACGCTTTTCTGCAGGATATTGGCGTACTATGGCGAAGGTGACATGAGCAGCGTAATGCACGGGTTGGAGCAAGGCCATGACATTTTCGAACACCGCTACTACAGTGGCCTATTCTAGCCACTGTACCGCTACACCCCCTCCCTCCCCTTCTTTTATCCCCCCACAATGAAGTTAGGCTAAGGCCGCAACTTCTCAACTCACTTGCCAGACCCGTTCTACCAGATAAAGTAACAACGGCAAGTGCCCGTCGATGGCGACAGCACCGAATATGTATCGCCTGGACGATGCAACTAACGCAACAAGGACAGAAAAATGTTTTATGTGCCTCGGTTAAGGTGATCAACGTGGTCGCCGGCAACGCTGGTGTTCGCAGCACGTTGACTCTGTTCGCGCGTGAGAAACGCGGTATGCGCTTCCAGCTCCAACTGCTAACATGCCATAGCCACGTTTGCCGACTAGAAAGTTCATATTTCTCGCGCAGCGTTGGTGGCTATGAGAACGCATTATTGTCTACAAGTTGCGTCGTCCCGCCGATAGGTATCCGCTGCGGTCAGAGGACCGATAGAAGTGCGGCTTTGTTACTTTAGCTGGTCAATAGCATCTCGCGAGTGCCCCTACCTATGGAAATGTCCGACACCGTGTGGTTTATGGTTAGGGTCTGCACGCTTGGTTTGATTGATAATGCAAACTGCTGGTGACCAACGTGGCCTCTTTCTCGCTGAAATTCGCGCAACTAAGAAAATTTTGAAGCTGGTCGGCCATTTTGGCACAATTTCAGCGAATTTCATGACTTTGGCGTATCTCGGCACAGAAACGGGGATTTGTATCAAATTGGCACAATTTGGCACAGCTGTTGCACTCCTGAGTGAAACAAGCTTAGGTTTAATGAATACACCATTGTAGTTCCAAAAGGTAGCCCTCCAACAAAGTGGCTGCGCAGTCTTGCCGAGGCCAAAAATGATAAAACACATGGATAGTTGGATACACTTTTATTATTATGTACAGTACCATCCGTATTAATGTACAAAACAACACCTCACTGCGACTAACAGATTTCCAACTTGCAACCACTTGCACTTTTATTTCTTCAAATGACATCAGGTCCAGACGTCACAGCACAGAAAACGACACAGTTACTTCTCACTTGTGTACAAAGGCAATGTGAAACCAGCCACATTACACGATGAGAAAAAAGGGAATTGAAATACCAATTGGTGGGCCACATGGAGAGTCACAAGTATTGAAAAAATAAAAAGGGCTAGCACTTCAGAATTTCACAGAATGTTGGCTTACGCTCTTACACTTTTGCAGTAGGAATGATTCCAATTGCACTGAGATCGAAGTAACATTCTGACTAGGAACACTGAACTCTACAAAATTTGTGGGAGCAGCAGAGAAGCAAGATTTACCAGGAACTGGGTTTAACCAGGCTCACTTGGCATGCAAAGCTCTATAGTAGAGGCTGCCCTATAATTGCAAACAAATTCAAAGTGCTCACCACAGATTCTCATCAGTTGCACAATACTGTGGCTCATCTGCAGGCTTGCTTTGTGTATGTGTCAGTATGTACGTTAAGTGAAAACAAGTATTCAGACGCAACACAAACTAAGCAGTAGTGGGCTGGTGCAAAGCTCATTTCAATAAGCATGCACCGTTTACACCAACGAAAACTGCAGTGTTTCATTCCCATTTCGAGAGAGCGTGTCTTCTGCCTTAAGTTATCAACAAATGACCGGCCTTCCTTATATATTGTGGACACTTGAAACGTAGCCATTAAAAATGTACATCTGCAAATGCTGTACAAAAATCTGACCATTATAAAAGCCCATTCAGAAGTGATAAATGCAGTACAAGCAGTTTATAGGGCTATGTTCCATCCACTGGTAATATATCGCAGGCCAGTATGCCTTGTCAGATATCACACAAGACATTCAGAGAAGAAAATTTTCCCCACACACCATCCTATTTCCTTGCAACTTACAGAAACTCGTATACTATGAGGTTCTTACAGTCTTTGGCACTCGTCAAATTGAACTTAGCAAGACAATGACCACTCATTTATGAAAGAGGAAGCATCTGTGAAACCATGTCATAATGCTTTTCCAGCCTTTTTTTTCTGACCAAAGTAAAGAAGTTCTTGTTCAGTCCAGATAATGAATGTCAGAGAAATGATCAGATATTATATTAATCACCATATACCCACCTGCTGTCACACACATGGCTCCCTTCTGGAGCTCAGGAATTAAATTATTGCAGCCATAAGTAGAAATCAAGCAATTCACTACATGCGCATTAAGCAATACAAAGTTATAGAACAAAATTTGATGCAAGTGTTCGGGAGTGCTTCAAGTATGCCTGTGCACCATGTTCAGGGCCTTACATGCTGATCTCAAGTATTTACTCTGTTACTTAAAAAAGGACACTTGAGGCTGTTACATGACAATATTTGATGTTGTACGTAATCCGCATTCCTTGCACTGAAATAAAGTAGTCAATGGTAGCCTAGCACTAAACAATGCCAAAGATGTATTGTGGGTAGGTCTAGTTATCAAGAGTTCAGCAGCCAAGAAAACGTGAAGAGTCTGTCTAGAATACAGCCTACACAACCTACACCGCACTTACTTTACCAGGCTTTTTCTTGGTGCAATTCAGATACTTGAATACAATGACGCAAATATCAGAAAGTCAGGAGGAATGCCACCTTACATACAGTTGCCAAATACAGGATATTCTATTTGCCACCGACTTATCATAATTACCACTGGAGTATTCCACAGTAGTTAATATCTTGAACAGCATGAGCTTATAGTACCAAAAATATTTCAATAATAGTTTGTCTTAATAGTACTTGTGACCAAAAACAATCTGTGTACTTAATTCATAACAGCGTAGAGCTAGGCTATTGCACAACTGTGGGCGAAAAAAAGTAACGAAGAAATTTAAAAACTCCTTGCAAAGCCCAACTGTCCTGAGCCTGACATGTGTAGTTTTAAACATTTGCTTTCTTTACTTTGCAAATGTAGGTTTTCTACATTAATATTTTTATGCCAAAGATGTGTTTTCACCAAGCAAAGAAATTGAGTTTGGACATGATACTGGCACTTAATTTTCATCTAAATTAAAAGCACTGGCAAGAAAAGTGGACTGATGCCATACACACAAGTGATATCAACAAAATGCATTAAAAACTGATAGCTTCATATCAATTTACCTAAGAGGATTTTAAGATAAGTTGTGTCATCTAGTTATCAATGCTAATGCAAAATATATCTTGCAGGTTGTAACTGACCATGCATCTACCAAACTTTTGCGAACTTTGTTCTGCTACCAACAGTAGATTCACTACTGCTCTGAAAGCACAAGGGAAAAACAAACCTGGCTGCACAATATGGTCACCCAAACATTTAAGAGAAAGAGAAGAGTGCCACATATAATTTTCCTATTGCATAGTGTGTCCGATTCGTCTACCAATGCAGCCGAAATGACACACACCATCATTTTCTGAGTATGATTCTTCAAAAATAAACTGACAGTGGACCGAAGGTACAAAAGAATAAAAGCATTAACATAGCATTTAAACTCCTTGCTGGATAAAATCTTCCATTACCATAGCACACAGACCATCGAGAGATGCATTCAAGGAGCTTGTGAGAGAGCAATTCTTTTACATCAAACCACATAAACATGGAATGAACATCCGAGTACATGATAAACACGGCTGCACTGAATCGCCTACAATAACAAGCAAATACTGCCATGAAGTGTGTGTGATGGCTTGAAAATTGCAGAAACGTACCGAGCTGTCTCTAAAATCACCAATGCATGTCTTGCGACAATGCTTGATTCGCGACTAAGTGCATAAAATATTAAAGCAGAACCTATGAGGTGCTGAGCAGTGTTTGGCTGTGCTACATAAAACAGAAGACATGAGGCTACAAGCTGCACTGTTCAGCTAAAACTGATAAGACCACAAATATGATAGAAATGATTCCTTAATATATCCAGTACTGAAACTGCCACGGCTAACAAAAATAGATGCTTCACTACACAGAGTGCAAGAATGATTCATTCTGCCTTATTTCATTTAATCATAATGTCAAGCTTATTTGATGTGAGGGTCGATGTATATTTTTAATAAACACTGAACTATCTAGAGATGACATGGCTTATTTGCAAAATATATATGTTGTGTAATCAACCTCAACTGCTGATTTGCAAATTAAAATCCAAGATTTTATTCACTCATGCCATGCTTCCCCATAAATATGTCTAATATAGACATGAGTTCAAAGAAAATCTCACAGAAATGCAATTGGTTGAACCAATGTGGTAATTATTGGCACAAAATTCATGCTTTTTCTCCTTACCCTGTTTGCAACTGCACGAGAGAATAATTCTGCAGCTGTAAGAAAACTGTAATGCAAATAGCATGTATATATTTTTCATTATACTGAACAACGTGGGGTTCACGGGACACCCTGTTTTGAGTGTGTTTTATTATATGTATATATGCAGAGCATGCACATGTGTATGTGTGTGTGTTTATGAAGAGATAAACATGAGGAGACTAACAATAGTAAGAACTATACTGCTATTATACAATTTCAATGCCTACTGCAGCAAACTTTAGCATTATACGAATTTCAATGACCTTGGTTTCATTTAAAGCACACCACTATATTTAAAGAAGTGCTGCAACATCAGTGTGCTATGCTTTTGCAAATGCAAGCATAATGTGGCAATGGTGGCTTTCAAGATGCAACTTGAGCATGTCCAGGAGGGAGAATCCAGGTTACCTCTTAGCCTGCATAACAGCCACCTTCAGGTCATTGGCCAAGTGTGACACGTCAACAATACTGTCCACCATTTCCTGCACAGCCGCCACTGATGGGAACTGCAAGGCTGCTTTCTTAGTGCTATTGATGAGCATCTTCAAAGCTTCACACAGGTTACTTGAGCACTGCAAAACTTTGTTCTTTATGTCTACGTTCACAATATTCCGGTACACTGTGTCCCCCATGTACACAAGCTTATGAGCACTGATCACAACAAATTTACTGTGCCCAATGAACACCTTTGGAGGCTGGTTGTTCTCAATGGTAGCCAAGAAGGCATCAATGGCATTAGTCAGAAATAGAATGTGGGTGTCAATCTGGGCACCATAAAAGTTGAGAATCTGAAGATCATTTTGGTCTAATCCAGGCACGCTGGATAGAGCTTGCGGTTCTTGCACTATGCCTTCAACAATAAGCTGGGACTGCTGCAACAATTTGTCAAAAGACTGGCTCAGCTCAGCTGGCAGTGCTGCCTTGATCTCCTCATTCTCGCGCTCCACCGATGCCTTGGATTCAAGGTTCACATAGTCATAGTCGCTGGCCCACTGGTCATCCTCTTTTCTTGGCGGGATTGGTAAAGGCCTCTCTTGCGATGCCCTCCCAGATTCACTGATGAGAGGGGACTTTTTGAAGATAAGCGTTGAGTTCCCTTGTATTGTAGACGCCACTTGCTGGATATCTTCTGTCAGACCCCGTGCACATGCAATCAGCTGGTCTAGCTCATCAGGGCCAGCTTCACGAGACATACACAGCTGCCAGCCTTTGTCGTCCAAGGCCTGGGTAGTTGCCACCACCACCTGATGAGAGTCCAGCAATGGCTTCGTCAATCGAGCTAACTTCTGGTACAGCTTTCGGTCCTCCACATGTGATGCATTGGCAAGGGCACCTTGGGCAAAGTTTAGAAACTCTTTCAAAGAAGTTCGTAGCTTGTGGCAGCTTGTTTTAATGTCATAGAGTCGACTCTCTGCAGTGACACTTTCCTGTCGCTTCAGTGTCGAGTGAGTAAGTGAAAATAGCTTCCCAATTGCACTTGTCAACTCTTGCTGGACTTTTACCAAAACCTCAAGAGCTGCATCACGCTCTAGGTGGAGTTCCTTAAGGTCTCCAACAGTCTCATAATCGCGCGAACTACGTGAGTCGCTACTAGATGAGGAATTTCGCCTGGAAGCATCCACTTCATCCATCATTGGTTGCGGCAATGGAGCATCACGTGTTACCTGCAGCATAACGTAAAACAAAAAAAACAGGTGCAATGTTTTAGCTTGTACTATTGCCACATAATCATCTCCAGATCATATATAGGTGCCGTAACAATTCAAAGAATATTGAAGTCATGCTTTGTCTCACAAAGAACCTACCTTCAATCCAATAAGGAAGCTAGGGTGTCCTAGATTTTATGCTCAACACAATATACTTTTTGTAAAGCTAGTATGTACACTAAGAAAGGAACTTTTTAAAAAAAATTTAACCTTCATGAAACAAAAGCAGCAAATTTGAATTATTTCTCTCCTTTTGCTCGGTTTACCAAACCAGAAAACTGTGCATGCTATCCAGAATAGTGCATAAAACCATGTATTCATATGAAAAAATGCAACTAAAGCTTGTGTGCAGTCCAACCCCCGTTTAAAAGAAAACCGATACATGCAGTTATCACTATGATGGTGGTGTACCTGCGAGTGCTGGCTGAAGCTGCATCAATACAGTGAGCATGTGTACAGAAGGATATTAGTGCCATCAGCAAGTAATCTGCGCTGTAAACCCAAACAGTTGTACACTTGCCAGGGAAAAGAATTCAGACCTTCTATGACTGCACTGCAAATATCATGTTGAGCCTACAAGTCTCAATAACTGCTGATGCTATATAAACATGTAGTCTTTGTAGTGAGTAAGAAATCAGCCCACTAGACATGTTTTATTGAGTTATAAATGGATATAAAAATTTTCTATGAAAGCTAACAGGTTTCCATTAATATATCATTATTGAAATTATAAAATGAAATTATTAAGAATAATATTCATAATATAATTATTAAAACAGACAACTTTTTATAACTTAATCATCATAATTACTGAGGTTTTAAGTCTCAAAACCACAATACAGATTAATGGAAAGTCCTTAATTGTGAAATGGTATGTGCAAGTCGTCTGTACAGATAGGCAGAAATTGGCCAAACTACGATAATTGTTCGCAGTGTCTTAGGGTTTCTACTTTGTAGCTAGCTGGTCTAGCTCATCAGGGCGAGCTTCACGAGACATACACAGCTGCCAGCCTTTGTCGTCCAAGGCCTGTGTAGTTGCCACCACCACCTGATGAGAGTCCAGCAATGGCTTCGTCAATCGAGATAACTTCTGGTACAGCTTTCGGTCCTCCACATGTGATGCATTGGCAAGGGCCATGCATCACATGTGGAGGGCTTTCCATTTCTACAGATTAATGGAAAGTCCTTCATTGTGAAATGGTATGTGCAAGTCGTCTGTACAGATAGACAGAAATTGGCCAAACTACGATAATTGTTCGCAGTGTCTTAGGGTTTCTACTTATTTCAATGAGAAGGGTTCACACAATTTTGACCATCCAGTGTCAATTAACACGCACATAAATTTACGTGTATGAGCCTCGAAAGTTTTGTATTCATCAAAATGCAATCACAGCGACCTTCAGGTCTGCAGTCACGCACCCTAACCAGACTACTGCAGCGGCTTTTCAGTAACTCACAATAATTGTGAAGCAGTTCCAGTACTGACCTAAGCTGCCTCGCATTACAAATTCTCATTTACGTTGTCTCGATGAATGTTGTAAGCACCATATGCAGTCAATTCGAATTCTGTATCTAAAGAGCACAGGAGTGTCAAGTCTAAACAATGTTACAAGTAATACAATGGAACAACAGTACTATCTAGAACAATGGTACTATATGGAACAATTGTACAATTGGAAACAATGGCCATAACATACATACAACTCAACTATTTCTGGACAACTCTAAGGAACTTCCTGGAATGACTACCCAACACATTTCTCTAAAACAGAGCGTTCCATAAGTATTTTCTATTAGAGTATTAAGCCAATGAGCCTAGCCAATGAGCCTAGCATTAACAAATGACGCCTCCTGACAGTAAGTAAAAGACACACAATCTAAGAAGCCAAAAAACACTTAATGAATCTAAATAACCAGAACTGACTCCCCATATATAGTAATTCAATGACAGTAATGCAAGTAAAGGAGTGATAATAATGCAGTAGAAGGTTTTTAATTAGGAAAATTTTTGAAATGAACTGAACATAATATTCAAGAAACACAACCTTTGAATATAAAATCCTAAATATTCTGTCACCTAAAACAAAGTAAATAGAAACAGACATAGTCAGAGAGGGGTTTGGGAGGTCTAAAATCCTATCCTTCCAGTATATTTGAGAGACCATCACTAACTGTGGCTTCTGTCTTTCCATTAAAAAATTAACTTGGGATGCATCAGTGATTCATAAGCAGTGATTCTGATTTCAAACAGCATTGGATATAGGTAAGATATATGTGATAAACACTAATATGCTTTAACATTGTGCTCATTAGGGCTTCTGTACATCTTAGAAAAGCGTGCATGTGCATGCATGCATGTATCTTCAACTTGTGTCATTTTGATTATACATGTTATACGTAGTAGCGTGCTTATACCCTTGGTGTATAGCCTCACCTGTGCCAGTACAGAGCTTTCCTATCAGAGCTCCCACATCTTTACTATAGTGACCCCTGGACTGTGCTGATCCGAGTGAGCACCGGCTCAAAACTATGCAGACAGTGACAGCACATGCTCTCTATAACCTCATGCAACAGTCCAGTAAGAGGCTTTATTTTCCCTGATAAAAAATTACTCATATTTCAGTAATCACATCATTTAAATCTTTATTATGCTCTTCTTAAGCACTAACCTGAGGAGGAACATCATACACGCCTTCCATGCAGACTGTCTGTGCTGCCGGTGCTCTTTTGGGAGGCGTGTCATAGAATGGTGCAGGTGCATTGTTGGTTGGCACATCATAAAATTGCAAAAGGGTCATGCCATGGCCAGGGGGTGGAGGCACAGCACCGAGGTTTCCACGCGGGCTTTGAGTTCTGCTTGGAGGTCCATCGGCAACACGCCTAGAACTGCTGGTTGGGATGTCATACATTTCATGACCTTGCTCCAAGCTGGATCTGTTTGATCCTGAAGGTAGGAGGAAAGCAAGAGGAGAAAATAAGACCGAATTCTAGAACAGTGAAACTAGAGAAGTGCACAAAGAAGCATTCTTTTGTATGGAAGACCTATTTTATAATGAATTCGCAAAAAAAAAGTTTTTTTTTCACCAATTCATTATGAAATACTGAAGGTCGAGACATCTGTTGGTGTGTGAAAAAAAAAAAGCATTTCAAAAGGTATTAGTGACATTGCAGTGGAAGGCTCTAAATTTATTTTTGACAACATAATATTTTTCAACCTTTCTCTATCCAGGATAAGCCAGGCTCACCAATGAACTTTGTACCATACCCCTGCTGAGGACCTAAGGTTACAAAAGACTAGTAAACATCAGGCTTGTGCGAATACTTGAGCATTTTGAATATTCGAATGAATATTACAGTATCCAAATTTACTTAGATTCGATTTGAAATTGCTGTAAATTTTGAAGTATTTGCAACGAACTAATATGTACATATTAAGCCGCATGTAACCACCCTATAATAATGGTTTCACTTCAATGCAGGAGTACTTTCCCATGATTATACCTATCCAGAGAAAATACGCACTGCTGCGAAGTGCCACTTCAAGGTTAAATTATCATATTAAAGTCATATCAATTCACAAAGTTTAAAGTTAAAACACTTGCTACACCTTTTTATATGCTCTAAGTATAGTAAATTTGTAAAACAATATGTTTTACAGGTTATCACTCACATTCTACTTTAAGTCAAAAGAATAATCTTCACACATGCCTTATTTTGGTTTATTTTTACATATATATTGTAGTAATTGAGACAAAGAGACAATGCCCATACGCTGGGCAGGCTGTTCTTTATTTCCACTTTTTCCTTCTCTGCTTTGTTTATGCTGCCCGCGTGCCAGTGCGCCAGAGTATTTCTTCGTCGTCACACTCTGCTATGACTGCAAGCATTGTCAGCGCAACTGTCGACAATGTTTCTGGTGGGCGATGCTGGCTGCATCACTGTGGTCGGTCGCGGCCATGCAGCTTGTTCATCAGTCTTTGTACGTCTGGTGGATGGCACTGGCTATTTCGCGGTTGCCAGGCTCGGCAATCCAGCAGTTTCACTTAGATCTTTGTCAAGCGCAGTTCCGGCGGCCGACACTGGCTATGACGTAGCAATCGCTATTCTTGGACGCCCTGTAGTCTGGTTTGCAATACCGCTGATGACGATGGCTCTGGTTGATGGCATTTAATGTTTTGTCATGGTCGCATGGTTGTGCTGGCTGTATGCTATTTTCTGTGATACATACGACCTACTTGGTCACCTTCCGGTTGTCTGTCTCGAATCTGTACATAATGACTGAACTATGAATGTGAGCGAGGTCGAACATGTCTGCATCCTCCGTCAAGATTGTCGCAGTTGTCCAACAGCATCTCCATCTCGCTGCTTCTTCCTCCCAACTTGTTGATGCCCGGTTAACCAATGATAGATGTCGTGCAAAAACCTCTCTGTTGTTGTCCGCTTGTCCTTCAGTGGCAGTCTGAATGAGCTAGTTCTTGTCGGTAACGGCCGGCGTATATCGGCTTCTTCTAGATGGGGTGTAGGCTCAGTCGTGCTTAGATAACTGCTTGATAACGAGCTGACCCTTGACGAATGTGGCATCATCTGACGCTTTGATTTCTTGAAGCAGCGTCTCGCTCAGTCAGCAGTATGTGAGAGCCTGGGAATTCAGCCAACGACTGCTTTAAAAGCTGAGGATCGTGCTTTGGGACGACCAGAACTTCTTTCGCATAAGTCGCAGACAGGTCAGGCTGCTGGTGTAGCTGCACGAAAAGTGAGGGCCGCTCCTCTGACTGTCGCTGATGCAAAGAAATTGCATGGACATGCTTATCTGATGGCAAGCTCCTGGATTCCTTTTCCAACGGCTGCGAATGAGATACAGTCTCTGCATCTGTCAAAGGAGTTGGGGTTGTTATTACTGACACCAAGTCAGAGTACTGAAATTGTGGCCAAGGTCTCAGCTGTGTGCGTGTCCCTGGGAAGGTCATGACATTCTCTAGAGGTCAGCTTCAATGCACAGTCGCAGCCTCAAAGTGGTGCCCCACCTGTGCTCCGTCCTCGATGAAAGCCGCGTTGGACTTGTTGGAGGCACAGATAATCTGGCCGAAAGTGGCAATCAGGGCTGTACTTTATTCCGACCAGTAATGCTGCCTCAAACCTTCATACTTGTGCTACGCCGGGGCACCATCCCGAAGGAGGTTGATGGCAACCTTCAATTTCTGCTGGTCCGACGAGGCCACGCGAAATCCGACAGCGTTGATAGTCACCACCTTATCCTCGACATGGTCGTAAAAGCCACAAAACTCCGGGATTTCACCGGCGGCTTGTGAAGGAGGAACCACAGACAAAATTGAGAAATTGCTAATGTGAAGCAGCCCAGCTGGTCTGAGAGCTGCCGAGAGTATCCCAGAGCTCTGTACGTTGCTCAGGTGGGCTGGCCTACAGGTCGTGTGAGGTGGCTACGTTCAGCATGGCGTCAGCGGCGCTCAATGCCGGAAGCACGGTAGGAAATATCGATATCGTCAAAGTGTTGAACATGCCGCGGAGTCGTGCGATCGTATGCCGCAGATGCGCGGTGCTGTCTAATGAGCCGCATGTGGAGCCTGTGGCAACGCTGGTCACGGAAGAGCTGATGGCTGGGCTCACTGTTACAGGATCACCATCAACATGAACAGCATCCCTTATCAACAGTACAGGTGCTTATAAGTCTTGAGCGAGAGCTTGCCGCCATAAGAAGCGTGAACAGCGTCCCTGGCATGGTGGCATAGGTTCTACACCATCCTGATATGGTGGCGTAGGTCCTACCTGCAGTCATAGGGTCGTGGTGTGCATGAGCAAGGAAGCGTGGATGGCGTTCCTTAAATGAAGAGACCCAGCTGCTGATGACTCACAAAGGCAGATGGCTTCAGCTGGAAAGTTGCGTTGTCACACTGCGCCATTGTAAAGAACAGAGACAAAGAGACAACGGCCGTATGCTGGGCCGGCTATTCTTTTTCTTCTCTTTTTCCTTCTCTGCTTCGTTCATGTTGCCAGAGTGCCGGAGTCTTTCTTTGTCATCACTACACACACACACACACACACACACACACACACACACACACACACACGCACGCGCACACACACACACACACACACACACACACATAAACCTTAGAAAATGATGATGTCTTGTAAGGGATCTGACTGACAAGATTTCCCATCCACCATCTCACAAAAGAGATGCAAATACTCAGGTTATGATGTCACGGCTTGTCACTAAATTTAGTTCTAAGTACATTTCACCAAATGTTAAGACTAAAAAGTGAACAACGAGATGCTTCGTACAGTCAAAACAATAGTCATGTCATCAGCAGAAAGCCACAGTCCCTGAGCCTCTGTGGCAGTAAAATTCACATGAGCCACCTTAACCAAAAGAAATTTTCATTCTTTCAGAAATAAAAAAAAGATGGTGATTACTCGATGCAAAAAGAAAGACCATAAGCCTGATTGTTGAGTTTTATGCCAGAACCACTATGCAGTTGCACTAGCATCACATCATGGGCCAGCTGCCAGAGTATGTGCGAGTGAGCCAGCCATCTAGAACCAGCCCTATGCATTGCCTTTCATGCTACAGCAACTGTTGCACCTGCTGCAGTTCTGTTCAGCAGCTGCCCAGGCCCTATTATTGTGGGGACCGCCACAAGTGGCCCCTAACATAGCTACAAAGACTGAGGCTCCTGAAGCATAGATGAAGTCAGACAACCTTGCTAGCTTCTCTAAACGAGTCCTTGGATCATTCAGAGTTTAATCAACACTATCTTTGCTAATAAACAACTTGCTAGACCAGAGGAGGCACTGTCGAGATCCATGAAATCTTGTATAACTGGTTCATGCACTCCAAAGCGCCACTTCAACCAATCATTAGTTATTTGATTTCCCACATATTCGGGCTTGGCTTGTGATATAAGTGTCTGTTTCATTCTTCCACATGCACAATAATACAGTTTGACTTAATTAACAGTCAATCAAGCCACTTTTTTTCTCAGTACACTATTATAACTTATTTGCTTTACCTGTTCCCTTCCGCCTATTGTCTTACAGCAGCCAAATTGATTATATATATATATATATATATCGTGGAGTCTCGAAATGAGAACGCCCACCGCTTTCGGAACACGGACACAGTAGACGCGGTCAAACCCAAACCAATAACACATTTATTTACCTGCTTTTGCAGTGACGATATCGTCAACCAAATCAAAATACGTCAGTTGTGATCAACACGCTAAAACAACCTTACCCAATATTCCACAACACTAAACAACATGACAAACACAAGGCGTCGTCGCCAAAGCTCGACTCCCCACGAGGGCCCGCGGGCAACGACCCGCGGTTCCGTCCTCATGGGCCCAACGCGAAAAACGACCATTTGCTCCAACCGCCATGCACCAAAAAAGTGTCGCCAATCTTTCCTGATCGCCCTCCTAACCCCGCCACCAGGTGTCACTGCTGGTGCTACCGCGTTAACCATGATGATGAGGATGGTGGTGATAAACGCTTGCTAGCACAATATCACCTCCTGCTCGATAGTTGTGAACCATAAATGCGGCCTATGCACGAAGCACATGCACCACAATGCGTAAATGACTTTATAGGAGGTGTTATCACCCCCCCCCCCCAAAATATATATATATGCAGGCATATGCAAATATTTTAACGAATATTGCTGTCTCCAAATTTTCCATGACACAACTTTAAATCATCTTAAGTTTTGAAGCAGTTGAAGTTAACTAATAGGTGCACATAAAATTGCATATAATCCCCATGTAAAGCTGGTTTCACTGCAGCACAGTTAAGGAGCACTACGTCGTGACAACACCTAGTCAAAAAAAAAAAAAAAAATCCGCACTGCCACAAAGCACGCTCAACTTCCAGGCTAAATGAACACATTGTCACAAAGTGACAATTTACCGCAAGCATACTCGTAACAATACTACCCTCAAATGGATCAATCATAATTAAAATTTTAAAAGCTTGTTTAAACAGTCATGTCCTAGTGAACTTTAAAATATAACATATTCACCGGTTATTACTTGCATTCCAGTGAAATTCAAAAACTGAGACTATTCAAAGCTGCTTTCACTTCCCTTTGAATCAAAACAACATTCGCACGTGCCTTATTCCAATTAAAAAGATATTGCGTAGGTTAGCTGGTTCATGAAAAATATTTAAAAGCACTGAAATTTGGGCGAGTTTGTACTTGAACAAAGGGGTATTTTGAGCGCATAAACAAACCAGAAATGGAAGACAGAGGAATACAGACGAATGCCCCGCCGCGGTGGTCTAGTGGCTAAGGTACTCGGCTGCTGACCCGCCAGTCGCAGGATCCAATCCTGGCTGCGGCGGCTGCATTTTCGATGGTGGCAGAAATGTTGTAGGCCCGTGTGCTCATATTTGGGTGCACGTTAAAGAACCCCAGGTGGTAAAAATTTCCTGAGCCCTCCACTACGGCGTCTCTCATAATCATATGGTGGTTTTGGGACGTTAAACCCCACATATCAATCAATCAATAGAATACAGACGAGCATTTTTATGCCCTATAAATACAACTATGTTCATGAAATATATGCTTGTTTTTCTAAATAAAATGTGACATATACTATTTGAACGATTCGGTTAAAAATTATTCAACCAAAACAATATTTGCTATGCATTCGCTTCAAATGCAAAATTTACTATTTGCATATAATGCCAATTCCAAACCATTGTGCTGTTCAGTTTGTACTACACTATTCTTGAAAAATATGTTAGCTGTTGCTCTTCTTAGTTCCAAGCATAAAAAATATCTGGATATTCTCGTTTTTAAATGGTCAGTCAGACTATTAGAAAGTTATAACAGCATCTAAGAAATAGCACAATGAGTAATAATACATACATCAGTAAAGGAAAGCTTCAAATGTTGATGGTTCATCAATTAACTTATAGTCCCGAGACTCAGTATTTCAGGTTCAGGACATCTCTGGAAGCCAACCTCTGGTGGGAGGTTTACTTATCTGGCTCCAGTAGGAAACTACATTATTGCATTATTGCCATTAGGCAACAAAGCTTTTTCGATGACAATTCAACTAAAACAAGAAGATGCTAAGAAAAAATACCTTTTTTCTTGCTTGCTTGGTGAGCATTATACCACCTCCTACTCCTGCCGTTTTTTTTTCAAGCTCAGTAAAATGGTTCAATTTTGTGTATGAGCAACAAAATACTGCACTTTTTTTTCTTGTTACGTTCAACCAACCTAAAAAATGCTGGCCCATTTATTCTGCCTGAACAATAAAATAATAGGACAATATATCCATGTAACAATTAAAGCATTGTAACTAGTTGGGTTAAAGAGTTCTAACGAAAAAAGACCAAAAGTCACTAATAAAAATAAAGGACAACTGTCCTGGTTAGAGACAGCAGCATGGGAAATGCCTTCCCAGTTTTAATGGCCATTATCTACTTTTCAGCTTAAAGTAAAGTAGGAGAAGAAAGAAGCGGAAAAAAGGAAGGACAGGGAGGTTAGCCAGTTCTCAGACTGGCTGGCTATCCTGTGCTGGAAAAAGGAGTAAGGGGACTAAAAGCAGCTCACTAAAAAACCACATGTATGTTACAGTGGTTGAAAAGAGAAATAACAATCACTCACACCGCAATCAATACACCACAAAGATCATTCAATGATCTTATACTGTGCAGGCAACCAGTGCAATCAATGCAACACAGATTCCCCCCTACGTAGTACTACTGACAAGGCACCCACCAATGTTTCACAAAAACCAATAAAGCGAATTCAGAACAATCTTCCTGATTTTTGCACATTTTCATCAAACTTGTGGCTTTTAAAACAGTAGGAATAGCAAGTGCTACAGCACTGTCATGAAGTATGCTCGCTGTTGCAAGCTGACAAGCAGTTTTTGTGACATGCAGGTGTTCAAACATAAACTCCAAGGACCGCTAAGCATGCAGCTACAAAGGGAGCTTGATGCACACAGCACAATGGGAATGGGGACGTACCACACAGACTGGACAAGGACAGCGATGTGTTCAAACTGGACTGACTGCTAGCTGGGGAGACTCCTGCAGAAGATGAGCTTGTCGAGAGCAGAGACACCCCACTTGACCGGCCAGAGGTGGGAACATCGTAGTTGGCTGCCAGCACACAACGTGGAGTGCCACTGTCAAGAGGAACATCATAGACCGAGTTGGGTGTCCCCTTAGCAACTCCTCGGGCAGGCGGTGGTGTATCATAGGTGCCCACAAGCTCGGAATTCGGCACATCGTAGTCGGTCTTGGGCCGAGGCACATCATAAGATTCGGTACCTGCATGACAAAAAAAAAAGCACCAGTTCTTGATGGTACTTAACAGCAAGAAAGTTAATTATGATTTTCAAGTTATTCAATTTGTGTTCATGCTCAATATTTATGCCCTCAATTTTGCCACTAAGTCTCTTGCTCATTACATAATTATGGCAGTATTTATAAAGAAAATCCATGTTTGTACAAGAAAAATAATTTTTCAACATTTTTAGAACTATACTAGTATATTTTTACTTCCCTGTGCTGCCTAACTAAGCAGAAAAAAATATTTTCGAAAATAGCTATATACATATACACCCTATAAAAAAAGAAAAAAAAACAGGATGAACAAACAACAATTTTCATAAAGCAAGCTAATGTATAAGTGATAACATGTATTTATTTAGTGAGTCATAATCCACTGCAGATAAAATGTCATAGCAAGCTGAACTATCATTAGTGTAATGAGACTACCTTTTGAAGCCAACAGACAACGAAGCCAAGGAAAGCATAAGGCGAATTAACACTTCTTGAATTAATGCTACCTTTTAATTTAGAAGCAATGTTGAAAATAAAAATAAAGTGGACAATGTGGGGTCTCGAAGTGGCGAGCTCCACGCTATTAAAGTGAACGAACACAGTAGACGGGGTTGGACCAAGCCAAACAGCACACGTTTATTCAACTATTTTTAGAGACGATGATATCGTCAGCCGAATAATTATCCATCAATTGTGCTCAAACACGCTAAAACAACCTTACACATAATTATGCAACACTCAACAACATCACAAACAAGGCAGTTTCGCCAACGACTGACAACCCCGGCAGACGGGCCGCGGTGCCGTGCACCGGGGTCCCCCTGCGAGAGATAACCATTTGTGCCAAATGCCACCAGAGAAAAAGGCTCTCTCAATTCTCTCATGCCGCCATCATGGCTTGCCACCAGGGGTCACCACCGGCACTACTAATCCAACCATGAAAGTGGTGATCAATGGATGGATGGATGGATGGATATGGCTGTACCCTTTAGATCGGGCGGTGGCTAGCGCCACTAAGCCGTAATACTTAATGAACTCAAACCTATATTTATTTATTTTTTCCTTAAAAAGTGAGTTTGAGGATTCGTACTTTGCAGTGAAGAGTTTAATTTTCACTCGTGCCTTGACTTTAGCCACCACTCAGATAACCTCCTTCTAGTTAAGTCTACTTGCTTAAAGTCTATTTTGCCCTCCCGGTCCCTAAACCCCAGTGCTTTGAAAAACTCTGCGCCATCATCCTGAACTATAGGGTGAAGCCCTTTACAGAACATTATCAAGTGTTCGTCAGTTTCTTCTTCCTCTCCACACGCACTGCATACTGTGTCTGCAGTATTTGGCCGTATGTCATACCGTATTTGGCCCGATATGTCTTGGTTCGCAGTACTCCCGTCCTTGCCTCAAACAGTAGAGAACTACCCCGAGTATTATCATAGATCCTTTCCTTGGCAATTTCCTGCTTAAAAGTTCGATAGATCTCTAGTGCGGACTTCTTAATCATGCCCATTTTCCACATGTCAGTCTACGTTTCCTTCACTTTCTTCTTAACCGATAGTTCTTTTTGGTTTGGCCACCTGCTGTTTTCTAAGTACTTACCAGTCAACTTCCTGGTTCGCTTCCTCCATTTTGTATCGACATTCTTCATGTACAAGTAGCTGAAAACCTTCCTAGCCCAACGCTCCTCCTCCATTTCTCTCAATCGCTTCTCAAATTTTATCTTGCTGCTAGCTTCCCTGCCCTCAAATGATGTCCATCCCATATCACCTTGTACTCCCTGATTTGGTGTATTCCCGTCAGCTCCTAAAGCAAGCCTACTTATTCCACGTTCCTTAATTTCTAATCTTGCTTGAACTTCTGATCTCATGCACAAGACCGCATTGCCGAACGTCAGCCCAGGAACCATGACCCCTTTCCATATTCCTCTCACAACATCATACCTATTGTAATTCCACAGTGCCCTATTTTTCATCCCTGCTGCATTCCTGTTACCTTTAGTCATCACGTATATTTCGTGTTCCCTCAGGTACTCTGTCTTATTGCTTATCCATACGCCCAGATATTTGTATTTATCTGTTATCTCTAGCGTGACGTCCTGTATCCTAAGCTCACTACCTTCGTTGTCATTGAAAAGCATGACTGCTGATTTTTCCTTACTGAATCTAAAATCTAACCTATCTCCCTCATTACCGCGGTGTCCATCAATCTCTGCAAATCTTCCTTGTTGTTGGCCATTAGCACTATATCATCTGCGTACATTAATGCTGGTAGTGCCTGATCAATAAGTTTTCCTTGTTTGACTAAAGAGAGGTTGAAGCCCAGCCCACTTCCATCTAATTTTGCCTCTAATCCTTGTAGGTACATCATGAATAATAAGGGTGACAGGGGCACCCCTGCCTAAGCCCCCGTTTTACCTCTGCAGGCTTGGATACCTGTTTTTCCCACTTTATAACTACCTTGTTACCTTTATTGATACCCTTTAAAAGATTAGTGACTACATGTTCCACGCCTAGTGTGTCCAGTATTCTACACAATTCCTCTTGAACTACGCTATCGTACGCTCCCTTGATATCCAAGAATGCTAGCCACAGGGGCCTGTGTTCCTTTTCTGCTATTTCGATGCACTGCGTCAGTGAGAAAAGATTGTCTTCCAACCTCCTGTGTTTCCGAAACCCAATCTGCAGTTCTACCAGCACCCCCTCATCTTCTATCCATGCCTGCAGTCTTTCCTTTATAATCTGCATCGCCAGCCTGTAGACCACTGATGTCACTGTTATAGGACGGTATATGTTTATGTCAGCTTTGTCCCCCTTTCCTTTATAGATCATGCTCATCCTGCTAAGTTTCCATCCATCGGGAACTTCACCATCGATTATTATTTTGCTCACTGCCTCTCTCAAAGCCTGCTTAGACTTCGGACCTAATGTCTTTATCAGCCTAATTGGAGTGCCATCTGGGCCTGTTGATGTACTACTAGGAACCCTTTTCTCAGCCCTTTCCCACTCTCGTTGTGAAAATGGAGCCATTGCACCACTTGATTCGTCCTTGTCTATTGTGGTGCATAAAGTACTTCTTTGTTGAAATTTTTTTTGTCACCCTTGCTCTTATATATTCAATAGCTTTGTCCCCTTCTAGCCTGGCACCTTGGGCTGTAGTTATAAAACTCTGCTTTAGGCTCGTCTCATTTCTTAGGGAGTTTAGATGGTTCCAAAATTTCGCAGCTGCCTTTCTATCTTTTTTATGTACTTCTGCCAGCCACTGAGCTCCCTTTCTTCTAATCTTTTCATTGATCAAAAGGGATGCAGCCCTTCTACAGCTTAGAAAGGTTTCCCATTTTCTCTCAACATCATCTGTCAGTTCACCCCGCTGCTTAGCATGTCTGTGTTCCCTAGAGGCTTCCTGACGTTTTGCTATGGCTCTCTTAACTTCCTCATCCCACCAACTTTTGGGTTTTTGTCTTCTTTTCCGGGGTGACTTGTTATGCGTCTTAGCAAGCTCTAGCTCAAAGAGTCTAATTAGATTCATGTATGTACACACTGTCTTATTATCCTCCGTGATTACTTTCTCAATTTGTTTAGTGGCTATTTCAATTTGCTTTTTTGAACAAAAATTTTCCTGTAGTTGTTCATCTTGTCTCCTTCCCACTTTCACTGCTCTTCCAAAACTTAGCTTGATACGTTTGTGATCACTACCCAGACTTCTGGAGCCACCTTCATCTATGTGCATTCCCCTGAGCTTATCATACATCCTATGTGACATCAGTGCATAATCTATCGTTGACTGCAGCCTTCCTACCTCCCATGTTATTTGCCCTTCACACTTCTCGGTACTGTTGCAAATGATCAAATCAAGCCTTTCACACATATCCATGATCATTTTGCCTGTCGAGTCGGTATACCCATCTATATCTTCTATGTGTGCATTCATGTCTCCTAGTATAATTATCTCGCACTCTCTTCCTAACTCCTGAATGTCCTTTGATATACACTTTACCATTGCCTGGTTTTCCTCTCTGGCTTTTGCTCCCGTCCACAAGTACACGAAACCAAGGAGTGTCATTTGACCTGCCACTTTCCCTTTTAGCCATAAATGTTCCTTGCACTCCTGCTTGACGCTTTGCCAGTCTGTACTTTTATGAATGAATGCCCCATACCACCCCCCTTTCTGCTGCCTTCTGTTCTATTACAATATTCCCACGCGTAGTCCAGATTGTTCGGAGGTTGTTCCATGTCCCTGAGATGTGTTTCTACAAAACCGTATACCATCGGCCTCTCTTCCCTTAGCTGTTCTTCTACCTCTTCCCACTTCAGCCTGTTCCTACCACCCTGCATGTTAATATACCCTATGTCTGAATGGGCTCGGCACTCGTGGCTACGTCTATTTATGCCCCGGACTCTACCTATCTTAGACATTGGTGCCACTTTGGAATCGTATCTGTCCATAACACCTTGTCTAAGAGTCTCCCTGGTTGTTTTCCTCGTTACTAGCTATCCTGCACCCCGAAGGGCTCGCTTGCCTCCCAAAAAAGCTACTGTGCGTCCTGCAAGTCGCCAACCCACCTCATGACCTAGTCGCCCATCGAAGTGAATTCTGTCTCGTTGAAAACCACCCCACCTATGCACCTCTCTGTTTATTTCCACCACCTCAAAGCCTTTCTCTCGACTCAAAGTTTGCGGGTTCAACTCTCGCGAACACAACGCCACCTACCGCTCAATAGTTGTGACCCCTAAATACGGCTTCTGCGCAAGACACGTGCGCCAAGCGGCACAAACAACTTCACAAGAGGTTTAACATCCCCCCCCCCCCCCCCCAACGAGAAGACCTCTTGCCACAGATAGAATCGAAACCCACATCTACCGCAATGCATGTGGACAGTAACAGTTGTCCTGTCATGCACTTTAGTCCTGTCATGCACTTTATTGGGTATTTGTGCATGTTTTATTCAGTCTAAAACCTCTCTTTATCTCCAGCCCCTTACCTCTCACCTCAAT